CACCATGGACTGATCCTAAAATGCCCTCTGGATGTGGGTGATCCACCCTCCTGGATGACCCCAGCCCATCCCTTGGACTGAATTTTCAAGGCATCCCTGACTGAACGATTAGCAAGGCCTGGATTGATTCTGCTCAAGTTCCAGGACCAACCTATGCCAATCCTCTGATTGAATTGTGCCAATCCTCAGATTTGTATTGGACCAACTGCCTGACCAATCCCCAGGCCCGGCCCTGGATTGACTGCAAGGATTGTCCCAACTGACTTAAGTCCACCCTCACCTCACTAATCATGACTCACTTTTCCCTTTCAAAAATACCTAAACTCTTCATGCACATTAACTGTGTTTGCCTTGTAAGCTGCTGGCATATACACCACCTTTCATACTGATTCCTGCAGATTGGAAGATAAAAAATGTCACCCAACTATTTAAGGTGGGAGTCAGAGAAAAACAGGGAACTACAGACCTGTTAGCCTTACATCAGCAGTAGGGAAAATGATAAAATCTATCATAAAGGTTGCAATAATCAGACATTTGGATAATAACATGATTGGACTTAGCATGGATTTGCTAATGAGAAATCCTGTTTGACAAAATTATTGGAGATCTTTGAAGGCGCTGCTAACAAAATTGACAAAGAAGAGCTGATGGACGTAGTATACTTATATTTTCACAGGCCGTTTGATGATGACTCCACAGGGGACTGGGTGGAAAGATTACACCCAGAGGGAGTGCAACAAAGGTTCACCAGATTCGCCCCTGGGATGGTGGGACAGTCCTATGAACAGAGATCGGGCAAAACGGGCCTGAATTCTATAGACTTTCAAAGGATATGATAGGAGGTAATGTGCTTAAAGACTGGCTAAAAGACAACAAACGTAGAATAGAAATAAATGGCTCAATGGGTATTGGCAGACTATGATTAGTGGAGTAGCACAAGGATGTATACTTGGTCTCCTTCTCACAACACACATCAATAATTTGGAGGTGGGGACCGAATGTAATGTTTCAAAACTTCAAAGCAGGAACATTAGTTGTGAGGAGAAGGGAAAGTGGCTTGTTCAGTGAATTTGGCCATGTTCAGTGAATAGACAGAGCATAGCAGATGGAATGTATTGTAAGAAATTGTGAAGTTATCCACTTTGGTAGGAGAAATGTGCAGAGTATTTCCGAACTGGTAGGAGGTTAGAAACTACAGATCTATAAAGGGACCCAGGTGTTTTTGTCAATAAGTCACTGAAGGTGACCATGCAGGTGCAACAAGCTATTAGGAAGGCTAATAGAATGTTAGCCTTTATCACAAGAAGATTTGAATACAGGAGTAGTGAAGTCTTGCTTTAATTGTTTAGGAGCTTATTTGGACTGCACCTAGACTACTGTGTGCAGTTGTGGTCTCTTATCTCAGGAAAGATATTATTGCCATAGAGGGAGTGCAACAAAGGTTCACCAGATTCGCCCCTGGGATGGTGGGACAGTCCTATGAACAGAGATCGGGCAAAACGGGCCTGAATTCTATAGACTTCCAAAGGATATGATCTCATTGAAACTTACAAAATATTTAAAAGGGATGGATGGGGGAGATGCAAATAAGATGTTTCCCCCGCTTGTCGAGTCTAAAATCATGGGACACAATTTATAAATGAGGGGAATGCCACTTGAGTCCGAGATGAGGAGAAATTTTTTTCTACTCAAAGGATTGTGAACCTTTAAACTATCCACTGCAGATGGTTGTGGATGTTCAGGCTTTGAGTATATTTAAGGTGGAGATTGATAGATTTCTGACTACCAGTAGTGTTGAAGGATTTGGGGACAGAGTAAGCTAAAGTCAATGAACTATTTGATCAGCCAAGATCATATCTTTATGCTGAGATAGCAGTAACTGCCGATGCTGGAGAATCTGATATAACAAGGTGTAGAGCGGGAATAACACAGCAGGCCAAGCAGCATCAGAGGAGCAGGAAAGCTGACGTTTCGGGTCTCGACCCTTCTTCAGAAGTGCTGCCTTGCCCTCTGCACTGAAAAGGTGCTTTCTGCCACAATCTGCTTGCCTTGCCTTCTGCGCTAAAGTGCCATTCTGATGCAAACACTGCTGCCTAACCCTGTCTGCTGAACTGCCATCTGGGAAGTAGAAGTCATTGAGTTACTGTATCCAGTTGGGTGGAGCAAGTGAACAGCGTCACACCTTGGTTTGATTGCCATGGTGGGCCTACAGAGTTGTAGAGATTGCAACAAAACTGAAGGCGATGAGAAGGTTTTGGTAGAAGCAGCCAATCTGCTCATCTGGGCTGAAGATCAAAATCACCATATAGAGGCAGGCTTCTACACCACTTTCTACACCACTAAGTATCTTGAATGAGTAAGATGTTATTTTGGGAGAAGGAAGTAAATTCTGGCAAGTTGTATAATTGATGAGATGTCAATGCATGTTCTAGGCTTATCAACAGCTGATCTCAAGAAATTCATCTAACCATCTAAGGAAGGAGGATTAATCGGGGAAGTTTATCGCCACAGCAGGAAGCTAATTTATTTGAACTCTTGCCCAATTAATGCATTACAGATTGTACTATACAAGTGCATCAGGGTAACAGACAGAGTGCAGGATACAATGTTACAGCTGCTGAGAAGGTGCAGAGGGATCAACATTAACACTGAAGAGGCCGATTCAAAAGTCTGATAACAGCGAGGAAGAAACCGCTCTTGAATCTGCTTGTACGTGTATACAAACTTTACTTCTTCTGCCCCACGGAAGAGGGTGGAAGAAAGTATAACCAGGGTGGGAGAAGTCTTTGATTTTGTTGGGAACAAAAACAGAAGTTGCTAGAAAAGCTCAGCAAGTCTGGCAGCACCTCTGAAGAAAAAAAGTCAGAGTTAATGTTTCAGGTCCAGTGACCCTTGCTCAGAACTGATGGTAGCTGGGAAAACGTCGGTTTATATGCAGAAAATAGGGAGGGGGATTGGGTAGGGAGTAAATGAGAGGATAAAGGATAGAGCTCAAAGATAGAGAAGAGTAGTTGGATAGACAAAGGAGGTGATAACAATCTGGCTAGGAGGGTGAATAGTTGTTAATGGGGACTGTTAGTGACTAACAATAGGAAGTGTGTAATGGTAGGCTGTGTGATAACAAGGCCTGGTGTGTGGGGTGGGGGACTGGGACATGGGAGAGTCTAGGCCCTAAAATTATTGAACTTGATATTGAGGCTGGAGGGCTGCAGGGTCCCCAAGCGGAAAATGAGGTGCTGTTCTTCCAGCCTGTACTGAGCTTCGCTGGAACACTGCAGCAGGCCAGAAGCAGAATATTTGGCCAGGGAACAGAATAGTGTGTTAAAGTGGCAGGCGACTGGAAGCTTTCATTTCTTTGGTTGCTTTCCATGGAGCGAGAAGTACAGGTGAAGTAAATGGATGGAAGGCTGCTTTGTGTGATGGACTGGGCTGTGTTCACAATTCTCTGTAGTTTCTTGCAGTCTTGGAAAGACCATTTGCCGTACCACATTGTGATGCATCTGGCTATGAAGCTTTCTGTGGTGCGTCTAACAAAAAAAATTGTAAGAGTCTTTGTGGACATGCTGCATTTCCTTAGCCCCTTAAGGATGTAAAGTCCCTGGTACTGTGTTCTAGACCATAACCACTTGCTGCAAAAGAAATTATTTTCCTCATGTCGTTGCTAGTTCTTTTTCCAACCACCTTAAGTTAGTGTGCTTTGTTACATGAACCTTCACCCAGTTGGAACAGGTTCTCTCTCTATGTGCTCTGACCACACCACTCATGATTATAAACATCATTATAAGATCTTATCTCAACTCTTTCTCTAAGGAAATAAATCTAGCTTGTTCAGTCCCTCATCCTTGAAAGCACTTTTATCAATCTTTTCTGCTCACCCTCTAAAGACTTCACATCTTCCTAAAGTCAGTGCATAGAATAGTTAAGCCAAACCAGTGATCTATAAAGGCTCATCAAAACCCCCCTGCTTTTTATACTTCACGTCTCTATTTATCCTAGAATTAACGGTGCATCTCTCAATGAATGCAATGAATAATTCAGAACCTGCAAGATTTTGACAAAGAGGTTGTATGTATTTTTACAGATGTAATATTTACTAAGAGCAATACAGCACAGGAACAGGCCCTTTGGCCTGCCAAGCCTGCCCCACCACATTTTGCCCTTCCATATTAAAACTTCATTTACAGGGTCTGTATCCCTCTATTCCCTTCCTTTTCATGTATTTGTCCAGGTGTTTCTTGAATGCAGCTGTTGTATCTGCTTCCATCAGCTCCTCTAGCAATGCGTTCCAGACACTCACCATCCTTTATGTGAAAAACTTGCCTCGCGCTTCTCTTTTAAACTTACTCCCTTGCATCTTGAACCTGTGTCGCCTGGTAATTGGCCCCTCCATCCTGGGAAAAAGCCTCATACTTTCCACTCTATCCATGCCATTCACAATCTTATAAACTTCTATTAGGTCGACCCCTCAACCTCCTGTGCTCTAGTGAAAACAAACCCAGTCTATGTAAACTTTCTTCGAAGATAAAATCCCCAATTCAGGCAACATCTTGGTAAACCTTTTTTGTACCCTCGCCAAAGCATCCACATTCATCTAGTAGTATGGTGATGGGAACTGTATGCAATTATTGTTGTGTCATTAAAATTACATAGAGGATACATCCCTGGCCACCTGAATCAGAAGTTATAATGAAGTACAGGAATCCGTTAATAATCTTAACCAGCCACTAAAGTCTAAAACTCCAGGAATTTATCTCTTGAGACATGACAGAGAAGCACCAAATGCTACAGAAGGACATTATCCTAGTCAATCACCTTTACATACATACAGACACATGCGTGCACAAACGCACACACACCTTAAGCCAGGATACAATTCAAATAAAGAAAAATAGAAATTTTGAAATAGTGGACATTACTGCTTCTGTCACAACTATTCACCACCAGCTTGATGTAAAAGCAAACTTCAATTTAAACATTTGAAAAATATATCTCACACTCACATTTATGCAAACAAAATTATAATGCAGGCCTGAGGAGATGGTCTGAATACTGTGGCTCTCTTTATTCTCTGACCAGTTCAGGACATCTACCTGTTGGGAAGGGGAAAAAAAGAAATCATTAAACTGTGCGTCACTAAAAATATCAAACAGTAGCATAATCAGGCAGCTCAAGATATTGATTATACTTAAAATAGTAATATTTGAAAAACAGTATATTGAATGCAGAACAAAATGTAGTTCACTATAGAAAAGTTCTGCAACAATCTAGTGACAAACTTTATAAAAATAAGCTTTCATATTTTGGGAGCCATTGCACACACTATTGCCAATTTAAAAAAAAGACTTATTTTGAAAAATTAATCACAAATGCCTGATCTTCTGTCCAAAATCTCAATCATAATTTTCCCATATGTAAGAGGCTGAGAGAAACTTAGAAGATAGGAGCAAAAGGAGGCTATTTGGCCCTTTGAGCTTGCTCTGCCATTCATCATGATCATGGCTGATTATCCAACTCAATAGCCTAATCCTGCTTTCCCCCCATAACCTTTGATCCCATTCGCCCCAAGTGTTATACCTAGCTGCCTCTTAAATACATTCAATGTTTTGGCATCAACTACTTCCTGTGGTAATGAATTCAACATGCTCACAACCCTTTGGGTGAAGAATGGTCTCCTCATTTCCATCCTAAATTGTCTAGCCCGAATCCTCAGACTGCACGAACTTACTTAAACTATTGATCAGATACTCCTGCATTGCGAAGGAGTCTAGGTAAGCCCAGGCTCAGGGTGTCTCAGTGAGGGAGCTGACAGGGTTCGAGTGTCTGAATTCAAGAAGGCAAGGCACAGATAGAGAGTGGGGATAACCTTCAGGAGGTGTGGCTTCGATGAGCCCAGAGGACCCAAGAGAGATGTTCTCCCTACATGCCCAACTCCAGCCGACGCAGCTGAAACTGTTGACCTCCCATTTGACTTGAGGCTTATGCAAAATACCAACCTGGTGGATAATGACCCATTAACAAGTCACTGAAGGAACTCAAAAGGCTAAGGGAGGGTGGACTGCCTGATGGTTATCCCCACCTTTGGTAAAAATCACAGACAGCTCCAGGGTGGGTGGAAGGTGACCTACTGATCTTCATGTGCCTCCAAGCTTTCAAACTCACTAGCAATTCACTGGATTGTAAAAACCACCCTAAACAGTGTGCTACACTTTAAGATCCTCACTACACTTACAATTATAGGTTATATATGACAATATTAATTCCATATCAAACATACAGCACAGGAGGTTTCACCCAGTTTCCGGTACTTCAGTATACAATGGAAAGACTGCCTTAAGAGTCTTACCCCATTGAACAAAGAATAGTACAGCACAGGAACAGGCCATTCAGCCCATCAAGCCTGCACCAACACACGATGCCTTTCAAAAGTGAAAACTTTTTGTCTGTACGCGGTCCGTATCCCTGTATTCCCTGCCTATTCATATATCTGTCAAGATTCCTCTTAAGTGTTACTATTGTATCTGCTTCTACCACCTCCTTTGGCAGTGCATTCAAGGCACCTGCCAATCTGTGTAAAACAAAACTTGCCTCTCAAATCTCTTTTAAAATTTTCCCCTTTTACCTTAAACCTATGTCCCTTAGGAATAGACATTTTCACACTGGGAAAACAGACTGCAACTATCCACGCCTCTCATAACTTTGCCCCTCATCCTCCGACATTCAGGGAAAACAAACTAAGCTTATCCAATCTCTCGTCAAAGCTAATACCCTCCAAACCAGGCAACATCCTGGTAAACCATTTCTGAACCCTCTCCAAAGCCACTACATTCTTCTCGGTACTGTGGCGACCAGAATTGGGTGCATTATTCCAAATGTGGCCTAACACTAGTTCTATACAACTGCAACATTCCTTGCTAATTTTTATCCACTATGCCCTGACTAATGAAACATGCCACACACCTTCTTATCCACTTGTGTTGCTAATTTCAGGGGACTGTGGACCTGTACGCCTAGTTCCACCTGTATGTTAATGCTTCTAAGGGTTCAGCCATTTGATGTATACTTCCCTCCTGCTTTAGACCTTCCAAAATGGGTCACCTCATATTTGTCCGGAGTAAATTGCATCTGCTATTTTTCCGCCAAATCTCCAGCCGATCTATACCCTTCTGTATCTTTTGGCAATTCTTGTCAGTATCTGCAGCTCCCCCAATCTTTGTGTCATCCATAAACCTACCAAGTAAACTACCTACATTTGTCTCCAAATCATGTATATATATTACAAACAACAGAGGTCCCAGCACTGATCCCTGTGCAACACCACTGGTCACAGATCTCAAGTCAGAAAAACACCCTTCCTCTGCTACTCTCTGTCTTCAATGACTAAGCCAGATCTGTATCCAGCTTAGCAGCTCACCATAGATCCCATGTGACTTCACCTTTTGTACTGGCCTTCCATGAAGGACCTTGTCATAGGTCTTGCTAAAGTCCGTGTAGACAACATCCATCACCGTACTCTCATCAATCATCTGTGTCACTGGCATAAAAAACTCAATGGCATTTGTGAGATATGACCTTCCCCACACAAAGGCAAATTACCTATTGCTAATAAGAAGTAATTGGTGTACATATGCTTCCTAGACAAGAACTATTTAGATAAGAGCTATTTTATCATAAAAGCTGTAGCGTAATTCTGTATCACCACTGTTTCAAACATTTTCCCAAATATACCATCTGTAGTGATCACGCGTAAGCAATTAACTTGACCACAAAATTGCTGAAAGCCAACTTCATAAGGCAATTCATTGAGCCTCCTTTGCAATTACTTGTAATTACAATCAAATGTATTCATCGTAACTTAGATAAACAGAAAGGAGGCTAACAGCAATGTCTCCAGTGTGTTCAGAAGGACACTGACTCAACACAACCTTTGCCACTTAGTTTAATCTAGTAATTTAGGTTAACATGTGTACAAAATAAAAAAAATGACTTTTATCACTTCTTTATAAAATGCAAAAAAGTTGCATTCTTTGATATTAATACTCTTTTGAATAAATGTATTGTCAACGTAGCATTTTCCACTCCAATTAAATGGTAACATAACACGACAAGCCAATGCCTGACATAATATCAATCATGAGCAAACCTAAATCAACTTGTATTTGTATAATTCCTTTTGATGTAATTAAATGAAGAGGGGAGGCTAGGCTTGGATTGGCTGGAGTTCAGAAGAGTAAGAGACAAGTCAATTGAAATGTGTAAGGTACTGAGGGGTCTGAACAGGATGGATGTGAAAGGATGTTCCAAGGTGACTGTTTAAAATAAGGAATCATCCATTTAAGGCAGAGATGAAGAGAATATTTGCTCAAAGTTCTTCAGAATTGTCTTCTTCAAGAGGTCACAGAAGCAGAGTCTTTAGATTTTTTTAAGACAGAAGAAGATAGATTATTGATAAGTGGGTGAAAGATTATTGAGGGCAGATGGGAATGTGAAGTCAAGGTTAAGATATTACTGGATAGCAAGCAGGCTCAAAAGGCCATACGGCCGACTCTTGCAGTTCCTCTCGACTCTTCCTCTAGTTCAAATGTTTGTACATTTTTAGACACTTGACAGAACCATTTGTACAGTCGTAGAGTTATACAGCACAGAAACAGATCCTTCAGTCAAACCATTCCACGTCAACCATAATCCCAAACTGAAATAGTCCTACAGACAAAGGGGGTGGCCATGGGTACCCGCATGGGCCCAAGCTACGCCTGCCTCTTTGTAGGTTACGTGGAACAATCCCTCTTCCGTACCTACACCGGCCCTAAACCCCACCTATTCCTCCGTTACATTGATGACTGTATCGGCGCCGCCTCGTTCTCCCACGAGGAGCTCGAACAGTTCATCCACTTCACTAACACCTTCCACCCCAACCTTAAGTTTACCTGGACCATCTCTAACACCTCTCTCCCCTTCCTGGACCTCTCTGTCTCCATATCGGGCAACCACCTAGAAACCGATATTCATTTCAAGCCCACCGACTCCCACAGCTACCTAGAATACTCCTCCTCCCACCCACCTTCCTGCAAAAATGCTATCCCCTATTCCCAATTCCTTCGCCTCCGCCGCATCTGCTCCCAGGATGAGGCATTCCACTCCCGTACATCTCAGTTGTCCTCGTTTTTCAAGGACCGTAACTTCCCCCCCTCAGTGGTCGAGAACGCCCTCAACCGTGTCTCCCACATCTCCCGCACCTCATCCCTCACACCCCGTCCACGCAATAAGAACCAAAAAGGAATCCCTCTCGTCCTCACGTACCACCCCACCAACCTCCAGATCCAACGCATCATCCACCGACACTTCCACCATCTGCAATCCGACCCCACCACCAAAGACATCTTTCCCACCCCACCCTTATCTGCTTTCCGGAGGGACAACTCTCTCCGTGACTCCCTTGTCCGCTCCACACTCCCCTCCAGCTCCACCACACCCGGCACTTTTCCCTGCAACCGCAGGAAGTGCAACCTGCCCCCATACCTCCTCCCTCACTCCCATCCCAGGCCCCAAGAAGACTTTCCACATCAAGCAGATGTTCACCTGCACATCTGCCAATGTGGTATACTGCATCCGCTGTACCCGGTGTGGCTTCCTCTACGTCGGGGAAACCAAGCGGAGGCTCAGGGACCGCTTTGCAGAACACCTACGCTCGGTTCGCAATAAACAACTGCACCTCCCAGTCGCAAACCATTTCAACTCCCCCTCCCATTCCTCAGACGACATGTCCATCCTGGGCCTCCTGCAGTGCCACAACGATGCCACCCGAAGGTTGCAGGAACAGCAACTCATATTCCGCTTGGGAACCCTGCAGCCCAATGGTATCAATGTGGATTTCACAAGTTTCAAAATCTCCCCTCCCTCTACCGCATCCCAAAACCAGTCCAGCTTGTCCCTGCCTCCCTAACCTGTTCTTCCTCCCACCTATCCCCTCCTCCCACCTCAAGCCGCACCCCCATCTCCTACCGACTAACCTCATCCCGCTCCCTTGACCTGTCCGTCCTCCCTGGACTGACCTATCCCCTCCCTAACTCCCCACCTACAATCACCTTTACTG